GTGAGGGGTAATACACTCTTGTTTGAAGGCCCTGCTGCCTGTGTGACTTGAAAAGGCAGTAAATGAAGAATTTCCCTTTTCATGTGTGTTTTCATAGAATGCAGTTCTCAGGAAGCTCAAGGCAGACCCTCTCCATTTTCCTCCACACCCTGCTTGCTCTGTCAGGGTGCAGAGGTAAATAGAATGCTGGAGCTGGGACGGAGAACCATGTCCGAGTCTCGTGTTGCCACTCAGATCTAACATGCCAGCAGGCTTCCGTGTCCATAAAACTTATCTATAGAACTCGTCTATGATTCTTGATGACTCTGACTTCTGCTTCTGTATACTAGTCTAAAAATTCAAACAGGATGCTAGTTTCACTCTCTGTTCCTTTAAACTACTCACTCAAAATGAAGATTATGATCTTAGTGGCAGCGATTAACCCAGGATCATGAGGAAAGATGAGTGTGCTTACCTAACAGCATGCCATGCGTTTCTGGCCTGGCCCTCTTTCCCCTTCATCTAGTTTCCCCGGGGCTCCCTAGTGTGGATCTACACCCGGATACTGGCTGGGAGGCAGGACAGGTGCTGGGAGTGAAGCGGGAGTAACAGAGGCAGCAAACCAGAGGCATCTGTTTACTAGTGTCAACTGCTGCTTGTGGGGCTCCTGTCTGCAGTGTGAGGTCAAGTGATGCAATAATGCTTAGGAATAGCTTTGAATAGTCTTTAAAGAGAGTTTTACAAGGTTTTATAGGTATGGAGTGTATTTGAATTACATTTTAGGTTTGATGTCAGGATGGCTCAATGCTTTTCATCTCCTTTTCTTTAGTGTCAAAACTGTAGAGTTATTGTACAGAGTTCCCGATCCTTAGACTCATTTACGTATTCATTTATCCATCCAGCCATGCACATTTTTTTTTTTCAGTTTAGCCTCTTACAATGTACTAGGTTCTGAGAGGGACAGGAGAGGAAAACATATTCTTTACCATCCAAAGCTGACTTTATAGTTGGAGAAAACTGACCAAGAAACAGCTAATAATTCATTAAGGGAGTGAGTAAGGGTCCAAAACAGTGATACAGAAAATAAATGCTATTGGAACTGAAGTAAAATAGGAAATTATGTAATAGAGCAGTTAGGAAGAAGACAGCCAAAATTTTAAAAGGGGGAGAAGATTCTTGGTTACCAGGGGAGAGCAGCTCCATGTAGGTCTTGTGTATTAACTGTTCCAATAGAAAGAACGCTGAGAGGGGGTTAATAAAACGTTCTTGGGATGTATTTGAGATTTGTTGAAGCAATAACTCCTACCATTTAAAAGGCCCCAATGAAGCTTTGAAGTTAACACCTCATTGCTGAGAAGTACGATGGCTTTTCATTCTGTACCTTTATGCCCTCACATAAAGTGGGCAGAGGACTCTGAATATGCCAACATCTGTTCAGTCTGGATTCAAGTCCCCTCGTCTTTTTTTCTGCCCTGACCTGCCTCCTCTGCTGGGATGTGTAAACGTACTGCATAGAGGGTGAGGTACATGGGGTATGGCGTTGCCCGGCTGACAGCCCCAACGGCAAGTACCCAGTCAGTTATTTTGCTCAAATTCCAATTTCCTTTGGTTCAAGAGATCTCCTTACCCATTTTCCATCAATCAACCATTATTTATTGAGGGCCTCATCAATGAGAAAATGTATGTTAAAGTAAAGGCCTTGGTAAAGGCCTACAAATGTCAAACACAGGTGTGACTATTATGAAGTTCTGAAGGGGAGACAAAGAAGTATCAGACACATCTCTGCCCTTAACAGCTCGCTCTCAGTGGGAGCGAAACATGACTCAGGACAGGCAGCATTGGAGAGCAAGGTGTGAAAGATACCACGTGGAGGATTGCAGGTCCTAAGAATTAAAGACCAGACATTCTATTTAATTCCCCCTTATCTTGGTTCCACTCACTTTCCACCCGAAGACCCAAGAAACCGAGCTGGGTAAAGAGAGGCTATTTCGTTTTCCCTCATAGACGTTGGGAGCGGGGACAAGATGTTTTTACTTTTACCATTGATTTTATTTTTATTTGCGCACCGTGGACATTTTATGAATATATTCTTCCCTGTGTATATTAGGTTGTGAAAAATTGCTGCTGCCGCTGCCGTTACTATTTTAATGAGCAAGGTTCTTGCAGCTCCCTTTATGACAGCTACATTTGTTTGCAAGCTGTTTGCCTTTGGCTGGGGGGGCGTAGACAGCAGTTTTGGAATGAAATGTATCTGTAGGAAGCCAGCAGCTCCTAAGGGGATCATACCCTTGACCTTGGTCTCATTCACATGTTGCCCTGAGCAACTAAACTAATTGCCCATTATTTAGCAGATTAGATCAACAAGGCCTAAAAGAGCCATTAATAATATCCTAAAGATAGGAACTCACATTGGGGTAACACTTAGGCAGTAGAAGAGTCAACTTAAGTATTTTGAGAAATTTTAAGGATTTTTCTTTTAGGCAAATCAACTTCTAAGATAGGTGTGAGTGTGTGAGTGTGTGTGTGTGTGTGTGTGTGTGTGTGTGTATGTGTGTAGATAGGCCTCTGATCATGTTAACCAAATTCCTTAAGAGTAACTAAGTTCGCATATTATTTGTTAGAAGTCAAAGGGGTCTGTCTAGCTGTGGCTGTGCCTCTTAAGCTGTGTGTTTTTGTGATATTGAATAAATGGCTTCATTTCTCTAGATATCAGCTTCCCTATTTGTCAAACAGGGGTTAGATTTGCATTACGTAAGCAGTAAATTAGGAGTTTAGACTTTCCTGTCAGAGTTCCTCAAGCAGTATAAAGGAGTATTTGGGTACCTTAGGGGGTCTAGGAGCATAGCCTAAAGCTTTACGAGTGCAAAATTTTGTTGAAGTCATTTTTCATTTATCTAAAAATTCACATAAATGTTGCATTCTCCTCCACATTATATTCATCTTTATTGTATAGTGTATTATTTTCCCCAAGTTGAGTAATACCAGCCCATCAGAAAAATGCGTGATGATTATCTTGGGCTTCTAGTAACTCCTGGCAGTCTCCCTGAAAACCCCAGATGTAGGCACATACCATTTTGAAACTCTTAGCACCAAGTGATCTAGTGTTGACCATAGCACTCTCAACTTCTCCACTGTTCAGCAAAGCCTAATAGCTGAATGGACTTTGTATATGGAAGAGATAACATAGATAACAGCAAAAAGAATGGATTTGTGTAGGTTGTTCCTTGCTATTTTAAAATGGTCCCCAAACCACCTTTGGCTTTATTTATCCAGCAGGTTGTAGTCAGGAGTTTTAAACTGGCTCTTGGGAGCTCTGATGGTGCCAGGTGTATCAGTGGAGCAGTGGCTGAGCTTTGGTTTCATATTTATAAAATCAGATTGGGGTAGCACTACTTTTAGAACTCTAGGCTTTCATAATGTGGACTCTTAATAAGTCAAATTTACATTTTTCTTACTTTAGTTGATGTCATATCCAGTTCTATTTTTGTAAGTTGGTGGCTATAAGGTGGTTAGTGACACAAGGTGTGACTAGTTTAGGATACAATGACAAAGTAACCCAAGAAGGGGTTCTAAAAGAAAACTTGAGCTCACGTACAAAACGGAGATTGGAAGCATAGATACAAGCTTATTCAATGAAAGAAAAGTGAATGACATTATTTGCTTCTGTAACAATTATTATTTAAAATTGAAGATTAGGAAGGAGTTTATAGTCTTTAAGTTTAGGATTCCTCCCACCATTCTATCGTGATGATTTTATAAGGGATCTCATATCATACTAGAGCAAATTGTTAGTATTTCTTTCTACAGAACATATTGCAATATGTTTCAGGAGCATTTCTTGGTACCATAGAATGACTAAACAAATTCCAGAAAATTCTATTGTTTGTAAGTTGAAAAATCATCCTATAATCCCTTTCAAGTCAACATTAGCCCTCATTGTCAAGAAAGAGTCAATTCTCAAGACATTAAGACTCAAATGCCTAGAAGTGATTGGTTAAAATACTGTAAACCTAGTGGAGATTTGTTGCATTGTTTTCTATAAATCATAACCAGAGCTCATTAACTGAAAAACAAATGTCAGTTTGTGTTAGCTAACATCTATAAACCAAAAAGGTACAGTGATCCTGGCATGTGATGGACAATAAAAACATCAGGAAAACGTATCAGGTAAAATTGAGAGGAAGGTGGGGGGAGGGATAAATTCAAAACCATATTGGAGTTTACTGCCAGGGCCCCACATAAAGGGTTTTAATGGGGCTTCTGCATCAAAATAAGTGAAACCATACGGAATTTTAATTATTACTACAGTGTATTTTGAGTACAAATACACCTGAGAAGCAGTTTTTACATTAATGTGCCTATCTGTGTGAACTCCATGCTTCTGCAGGGGGCACACATTGGAGTTTTAAATGCCACTTCTTTCTGATGCACACTGCTCACAGTATTATGGTTTTTCTTATATGATCTAAATATTGAACTTAATGCATACAGAAGTAACCTGCCCATCACTATTAGCTCTGCCAGCTTGGGGTCACCCGGGTGCCCTGGAATACAGAGGCTGTCTGAGGAACATCTGTGGCCTCCGTTTGGCCTCTATTGTATGAGGCAGGGCATGAGTGTTGGGCGGGGCGATGTTATGGCGCATATGCTCCCATTTCTGATTCTGGCATAATCTCTGCTTCCACATTTTTAAACTTAAGCTTGTCAGAGTTTCATTTGGGGAGGAATAGGTAGAAGTTAGTTGAGGATGGAAGAATTTATAAAAAGCAGAGAGTGACTGCCTGGGATATGTCAGTTCTGGTTCTTCATCTTGAAAGTGCTTCTGGCATTAGAAGCTGCTCACTAGCTTTTACGATCTGCTTATGGGCCTGCGGACTCTGGGAAAATACTAATGACAGACGGGGTAACCTCTCTATCTACCCCTCCCCTAAGGCTGTTGCTTCTCTTTCTCTCTTGGAATTCATGGTCATAGAACATTAGAGCTGGAAGGGAACTTAGAGCTCATCCCCCTCATTTTACAGATGATGACACTGCCACCTCTGACTTCTGCCTCTGGCCTTCCACTCTCAGTAAGAAGAGCCAGGCAGGTGAGACTTTTAACAATTGCTGGGCTGGGCAGGGCTGGGCTGGGCTGGGCTGTCTGGTTGTTACTGTCCGATTTGTGAGTTTTGTTAACTATGTGTTGCTTTCAAAGAGTCACGTTTTATTACAAATGCACATCATGACACTTAAACCTTGCATTTTATGAAGATTCTAAGCAGTGTGCATTTTAACAAAAATTAACAAACTTCAATCAGCACCTTTAAAGAAAAGTGTTCGGATTATTCCTTTAATAAATGTTGTAATATCCGAGAACAAGGTCTGAATAAAAATGAGACGAAGAAGTATCCATTCACTAAAGTCCTCAAGAATTGTTTCGTGCTTTCCTTTATAGCTAAAAGGAAAAACAAATATATGAGGTTAGAATAATCCAGATATTTTAGAAGGGTTCAATATCTTAACAAGGGCACTGGTGTTAGAAAAGGGCTTGTCACAATTCTGTCAATTCCAGAAAAATAATAATAGGCCCAATCTTTAAAGATCACAACTACAAGATTTTAGCATTTCAGAAAAGTAATTTCCACATTAAATGGTTTATAATGGTGGTTTCACAAGTTAGGCACCAGAAATGTCTATTAAGGAGGCATACTGTTAGCTTTAGATGTGAAAGGACTTCACATTTTAGGGAAAAACCATCTTCGCCTCTAGGTTACTGCTTCAAGTTGACCGGAAGCTGTTTCTGTAGGATGTGGTGCTGGGGCCTGTGAGACATTGATCTCCCCTAGGCAGCGAGCCTTTCGCAAAAGCCACTGTCAGCACCTGGCCTAAATCAGGTCACAAGTCTCCCGTCGAGACTTGAAATGCAGTGATTCCTAAGGTACCAAGCCCCCTTGTGCCTCCTAACTCCCACTTTCAAAACCGACTTGTCTAGTAGCTTATGACCCTTCCTGTCCATCTCCAGAGAAGTTAGGAGTTTCTGGTTTGATTTCACTGTTAACAAGATGAGGCGTATGACAAGATTTTAAATTCTTTTAAGGCTTTAAAGGAAATGTTAGGAACATGATAGGATATCTTTTTGATGCTCCTTCATTGACTAAGGAGTCTGCCAAGAGTAAACAGTAAGACGTTATTTTGGAATTTCTTTATATTGAGTTGAGGAAAATAAACTTGTCTGACTTAGTAAAAATTTCACTTCAAATATCTAACGTGCAACGAGAAACAAAAAGAGAAAAAAAAAAATCCATACGGATTTGGTCTTAAAGTCTGGTGAGTGAACCTATGTGATCAGAGTGTTGGGTTGGTTTACACATTGACCTGGCACACATGTGGGTTTTTAAAGCCCTCTGGGATGCTCTGGGGGTGAAGAGCTTAAGGATCAATGCTGTTAAGACTGCAAAGTGGGGGAAAAAAAGACTGTAAAGTGACTGGTGCATTTGAAGGTCTGTTTGTGGCTTGCTGTTCCTATTTGGGAAAGCTAAAGTTTTCATTTTTTTTTTCTTGTAACAATTCTATCATTATTTTAATTGATATTTACAGATTTTTTCCCCCGTCTTCTGTTATAATTTTTAGGTGCTTCAGAACTGGGCCCTTTTTCAGACCCCAGGCAGTTCCCAAGCATTTCATCCCTCACTGAGAGCCGCTTCTCCAACCCACGAATGCACTATCCAGCCACCTTTACTTACACCCCGCCAGTCACCTCAGGCATGTCCCTCGGTATGTCCGCCACCACTCACTACCACACCTACCTGCCACCACCCTATCCCGGCTCTTCCCAAAGCCAGAGTGGACCCTTCCAGACCAGCAGCACTCCATATCTCTACTATGGCACTTCGTCAGGATCCTATCAGTTTCCCATGGTGCCGGGGGGAGACCGGTCTCCTTCCAGAATGCTTCCGCCATGCACCACCACCTCGAATGGCAGCACGCTATTAAATCCAAATTTGCCTAACCAGAATGATGGTGTTGACGCTGATGGAAGCCACAGCAGTTCCCCAACTGTTTTGAATTCTAGTGGCAGAATGGATGAATCTGTTTGGCGACCATATTGAAATTCCTCAGCGGTGGCCCAGTGGTATCTGGGGAGTCACATCCCACATGTATCAATATATACATATATATAGAGAGAGTGCATATATATGTATATCGATTAGCTATCTACAAAGTGCCTATTTTTTAGAAGATTTTTTCATTCACTCACTTAGTCATGATCTTGCAGCCATAAGAGGGTAGATACTGAGAAGCAGAAGGCTCAAGAGAGACAGTTGCAATCGGGTTTCAGATTGTTTACTATTTAAGATACACTTTTACAAAGGAACAAACAAGGGAAAAGGTATTTTTGTTTTTGCTGTTTGGCCTGTTATCATCAATAACCTGTTCATATACCAATTCAGAGAGGTGGACTCCAGGTTCAGGAGGGAGAAGAGCAAAGCCGCTTCCTCTCTGTGCTTTGAAACCTTACACCCTCACGGTGGCAGCTGTGTATGGACCAGTGCCCTCCACAGACAGCTGACAAAACCAGTCGAGGTGCACTAAAGGGACATGAGGTAGAATGGACGCTTCCATCACAGTACCATCATTCAGAATAATGCTTCCAATTTCTGCTTTCAGACATGCTGCAGGTCCTCATCTGAACTGTTGGTTTTTTTTTTTTTTTTTTTTTCCTGCTCTAAGAAAGTGACTTCAAAAATAACTGATCAGGATAGATTATTTTATTTTACATTTTAACATTCCTCCTCCCCTTTTCCCATTGAACCAAAAAGAAATCCAATCCCTAAAACCTGCCTTCTCCTTTTATGCAAAACTGAAAATGGCAATACGTTATTATAGCCATAATGGTATAGATAGTGTTTGCGTTTGGCTATGTGTTGTTTTCTTTTTTTTTTTAAATTATGAATATGTGTAAAATCTGAGGTAACTTGCTAACGTGAATGGTCATATAACTTTAAAGATATATTTATAATTATTTAATGACATTTGGACCCTTGAAACATTTCTTAGTGTATTGATATGTTGACTTAGGTCTCTAAAAGTGCTCTTTATTAAATAACAAATTTCTTCCGTGGTCTAGAGCCATATCTGAAATATTGCTAAGCAATTTTAGTTCATCCAGGCACAATGTGATTAAAAAAATACTTTCATCTCCAAATATTTTAGATATAGCTTGTTTTGGTGATGTATGAAGGAAATGTTATGTTTAGTTCTTTCAGATCTTTGAATGCCTCTAACACAGCTTTGCCTTTTAAAACAATAATTAGGGATTTAAAAACAACCTTTAGCCCTTTATCAGCATGAAATGCTGGAGCAATGTGGTTTTTTAATTTCTTTGGGGTAATTATGACTCTTGTCATATTAAAAAGACAAGCACAAGTAAATCATTGAACTACAGAAAAATATTCTGTGGTTTCATAGTTAAGCAAAACTCTAAATCGCCAGGCTTCATAGTGAAGACATAGTCAGCTTAAAGCCACACATGTGGATAGAGGATCAATTATGAGACATCTAATACAGGAGAGCAAAGTTGCACCAGGGATTCTTAACCAACCAGCCTTACCAGACAACACATCAGGGGAACCCCAATCTGCCTTACCCAAGGCCCCACTGGCAGCTTCCCACAGAATTTGCATTTAGAGGAGCAGAATGACATCGCTGTCCTTTGGGAGTCGGTCCTCTGAAGAGGTAGCCAGGTTCCAGCAGGCAGCTGAGCTGAGAGGATGACATACAGCCTGTGGGGACCTACAGAAAGCCTTTGACATTTGTATTTCCTACAATGGAGGGCCAAGGAGGGCAAGGATGTGTGGAGTTTGGTGTCTACTACTGCGTACGAATTTGAGCTAGAGCCCTTCTGTGGCATGCACTTTGACCACTCCTGGGAGTCACATGACAGATTTCCAAGTTCAAATCCTTAATCCAAACTAGGATCATCTAATGACACCACCAGGCCAATCCCTGCTCTCCTCCCCGAAAAGTCAGGGTCCCGTCATTGGAGCCCTCCACCCTCCCGAGCAGAACTTAGCAGAGATTTGCCTTCAACCCCTAATGGCCCCCTTATTCTCTGGTCCTTCTCAAACCCACCTTTGTAGGCCACCCAGCATTGCAGGACAGCATGTGGGGCAGCTGGACCTGTTCTTCCTGCCGGGGAGTCTCCCTTGGAACTCATCCTGACTCCTTCTAAAAAAAATTGATGGGAAAACAAAACACTTTGCCTTCTAAAGGCCATATACCAAGTATATTTAGATAAATAAGCCACTTTTCTATTACTTAAGTAAGATGGAAGTAGTCATTGATACTATTTATTGTTTGTGTGTGGTAGCTTGAAGCACACCACTGTCCATTTATTTGTAAGTGTAAAATATGTGTTTGTTTCAGCAGCACTTAAAAAAGCCAGTGTCTGGTTACACATTTCAATTTTAATTAATCAACATAAAAATGTTACTGCCTGTGCCAGCTGCATCCTATTTAATTAAAAAAGTACTATATTTGTACATTATGTTTTAATGTTAAAAGTGCTAAAAGGGCTTTTTTAAGTTTACAGTACACCTACCGAGTGACTTTGGTTATGCTTTTGTGTCGAAATGTTACTCTACTGGCTGCAGGCAGCAACCCAGAAACACTTTAGAAGCTTTTTTTCCTTGGGAAAAATTCAAGCACTTCTTCCCTCCACCCTCACTCCATCCACCCCAATGGGGGTCATTCACATTTCTTAGAACAAATTCTGCCCTTTTTTGGTGTAGGGATTAAAATTTTGTTTTTCTTTTTTTCCACGGAACCATTAATTTGCACTGGGTCATGTGTTTGATTTGTGATTTCAAGACCAAAGCAAAGTCTTACTACTACTGTGGAACCATGTACTAGTCAACACTCTAGTTCTGGGAATTCAGATAGCGTGGTTCTTGACGTAGCACAAACATTGCTGGAATTTACAGTGTGATCAGCGCAGCCACATTATTTATCCATTTCACTTGTCTCACAAATTTCAACCCATGTCAGAGTTCCAGGAAAGGTATCACAGCTTTGGTTTTAGGTTAGTGGAATAACATTCAGCCTGGAACTGAGAAACTCAACAGATCAACTATCGTTTGCTCTTTAGACAGTCTTACCGCCTCTCCCCCGCCAGGGCCCTTTAAAAATGAGCAGAGGAATCCACACCACTAGGGAGCATTCATGATAAATTCAGAAGGGAGGAGAGGTGTGTGCAGCTTTAAGGATTCCCTCCATTCTGAGGAAAGGGCCTGGCCCAGAATCCTGGTTAATACGTGGAAATATGAAGCATTAGCAAAAGTAATCATTATACCCATGGTATTTGAAAGAACAATAATAAAAGACAATTCTTCCAAACCTTGAATTTGTTGTTTTTAGAAAACTAATGCATTAAAAAATTTTTTCTATGTGAGAACTTTTTAGATGTTTGTTTACTTCATGTTTACAAATAACTGTTTGCTTTTTAATGCAGTACTTTGAAATATATCAGCCAAAACCATAACTTACAATAATTTCTTAGGTATTCTGAATAAAATTCCATTTCTTCTGGATATGCTTTACAATTCTTAGGTTTCTGTGGAACAAAAATATTTGTAGCATTTTGTGTAAATACAAGCTTTCATTTTTATTTTTTCCGATTGCTATTGCCCAAGAATTGCTTTCCATGCACATATTGTAAAAATTCCGCTTTGTGCCACAGGTCACGATTGTGGATGAGTTTACTCTTAACTTCAAAGGGACTATTTGTATTGTATGTTGCAACTGTAAATTGAATTATTTGGCATTTTCTCATGATTGTAATATTAATTTGAAGTTTGAATTTAATTTTCAATAAAATGGCTTTTTTGGTTTTGTTATGTGTGTACCTTGGGTCTTTTCTTGTTCACGGTTTCTCCCTAGTCTGACGTTTACCCCTGCCTACACTTGGGCACTGTTTGGTCTTAGGACTTGCCAGGGCTAGTTAAGAGGAAAGATGCTATATTACTGGGGAGAAGGAAAAAAAAGTCTTGTCTTCTTGTTTAGTCCTGTTCCTAGGTAGGGGTGGACAAAGATCCTAGCAGTGAACTCCCTTCCTTATCAGCTTGTGTCTGAAGGAAGGACTGCACATCCATCCTTGAATAAGGCCATCTGTTCCAACTGTGGGACCTATCAGGGGTATGGGTGTAGCCCTGATGGCTTCACGATCTAATCTCGGAATATGAACTGGGCCCAGCAAGCGAACCTCTGGTTGTCGTCAGAAGATCTCAGGCAGCCCAGACATAGGCTAGTCTGTTTTCCTTCCCACATCTCTTTTGGATTCTTAAAAATAAAGTCAACCAAAGCCCAAGGATGAGTAAAAATGGACCTTGGCCTGGAGGGCTATCGCCTCAAAAGAATTCTCCTAGTGAACATAACTATAGTTGGGAGATTTTATTTTTCCCTTGGCCATTGTTTATTTCTGGTAAGTCCCCCCCTCCCCCTGTGATAAGGTAGAGAGGTTGCTTTCTCTGTGTCCTGTGCTTTCTGGATGCTTGGGCTCACCACAGTTCTAAAAGAGGGACCCAGGAAATTGTGGTGCAGGGAAGGTCAGCCGGTGGCCAAGCTGACCCACATCATAGGGACAGTTAAGAGACCTTGAAGATCTGCTCATGCTTAAGACGTTGGCACTATTTTCTAAGAAATCTTGGAAACAGTTAAATTCCAAGAATAGGAAACATCCTGAAAGCACTTGGGTGAGCTTAAGCCAGGGAACTTGTCTGCAACTCTCAGGATGTAGATTTATTTATTTTTTAAAAATTAAACATCTGTGTGACTTTAAAGAGCATTCACAAGGGAGGTGGTCACAGTGGCTTGCTTTCTCTCTCCAGTTTTCTCCAGCAGGAATTTCTGGGGCAAGTCACTTTACTCCTCTGTGTCTCAGTTTCTTGGTTTATGAAAAGGCACTGGGCTGGATCTTGGCATAATTGACATTTCAGACCGGATAATTCTTTGTGTGTGTGTGTCGGGGTTGCTGTCCTGTGTATTGTAGGATGTTTGCCAGCATTCCTACCCTCTACCCACTAAAATGCTAGTACCACCTCCCTAGTTACGACAATCAAAAATGTCCCAGGTATTGCCACATGTTCCCCAGGTGGCAAGATCTCCACTGATTGAGAGAACCACTGAGCTGGAGGCTTTATTGACAGAGCTCATGTGAGAATACATTGCTTGTTAAATCAGAGTAGCCAGGCAGAGGCTGAGGGACTTTCCAGTGATGGGTACACATCAACCTTTTCCATCCCTTCACCTGACGGCACTCCAAGATTTGGATGTATTGTGCCGGATACTGCTGGCTTTTTTGTCTGCACTTCTTCACTCCTCTCTGCAACGTGGGCTGTGCAGCCCATGAATAACCCAGCTGGGGGACTTCGTTAGGCCTGGATTGGTTGGCCATATTTATCATGGCCTTTCTGTTTCCCACTGAAACGACAGGCGGAAGAAGAAAGCAATTTCTGCAGTGTTTTTGACCCCTGGTGTCCCCTATCCCCCAAATATTTAATCATCAGGCATTTCTGCAAGAGTGGGTGTTTCCTGTTCAATCCCAGCCAGGACTGGCCCAATAAACACCTCAGGTCTCTGTCACCGAGTTTATTTGGCTGGGAAATGGGTATTGCAACGTAAACAGGAAGCCCCCTGAAGTTATTATCTACAGATGCACTGGAAGAGCCACATGTTTATATTTATGGGACTTGCAAACAGTCCGAAAGGCAAGGGAGGATGTCAGGGAAGCCCTCATTCACAGTCAGTGAGAGCAGGCCCTACAGCTCTTTATTAGTTAATTTTTCATTCCCTCTGGAAATGGTTGGTGAAGAATAATGACCTAGCCAAAAGCCACGGCAGAAATGGAGGTGCTGGCGTGCCTGATATAGCTTTGCTGATATTGTTATTAGGTTAACAATAAGCAATCCTATCAGTTGGCCTCTCTATCCTATTTGAAAATTATTTTAGAGACTAGTCCTGGGAAGCAACAATTTGGAGGTATCTAAAAAGGTAGGATGCTTATCGTAACACTGTCATCATTTCTAAGTTTTTCTGGGGAAGCAGAGGACAAATCAACTGCCTGCTCCAGTTTTAGTGAGTGTGGGCCAGCTCACCTGTGAAATCCCAAGCAAACCCTCTTGCATTCACTCCTTAATCAGTTTCTGTGGGGCTGGGAAGGACGTCTTCATGCAAGAGTTAACACCTGAGCTATCCAGGTATCAGTACTGGGAATCAGGCTTGTGCCCTAGGCCTCTGTTCCCCAGGTATACTCCAAATTGCTCCCCACCCGTCTCAGCTCTTCCTTCATTGCCTCTCTTTTCTGGCCTGGAAAAGGTGCTTAAGAAAGGCCAGGTAGGATCCAGTATGCGGAGAGCTGATGCTCTTGATTTAAATTGTGGGCTCTGAGCAAAGGCAAGGGAGTCTTTCCTTTCTTACCACCATTCCTGTGCACCCTGATAAGCCCCTTTATATCTTCCTAGGGGCTTCTCAGCGGTAGCTATTCAATCAGGAGGACTTGGAAATGAAATTTTAAAAAGTTATGAATGAAAACTAAAGCAAAGAATCCACTGAAGATGCAAAGGGTAATACACCAGGGGTGTATGTGTGTGTGTGTGTGCGCATGTGTGTGCGCACATGTGCACGTGTATGTATGGTGTATGTGTATGTGTATGTGGTGTAGTGTGTGTATGTGGTGTATGTGTGGTGCATATGTGTGTGTGGTGCATATGTGTGTGTGGTGCATATGTGTGTGGTGTGTGTGATGTGTATATGTGTGTGGTGTATGTATGTGAGTGTATGTGTGTGTATATATGTGTGTGTGGTGTGTGTATGTGTGTATATGTTCGTGTGGTGTATGTGTGTGTGTGGCGTGTGAATATATGCATGTGTGGTGTGTGTGCGTGTGTGTGTGTGTGTGTGTGTGTGCACAGGTATGTGCATGCCTGAAGGGAGGGAGGAAGGAGGGTGAAGTTTGGAAAGGGTACCTGAGCCAGCCATTCAGGGAAAGATGAGGCTCACCACCCCTGAACGTGTACTCAGAAGACACAGAATTTATTGACCTCGGTTTTTAATTTCTGCAAATTCTTAAAAAAAAAAAAAAAAAGCACTGCCTTTATCCCACAAGTAATGAAGAAGCAATTACTTGTTTTCAAATAGGTTACAGGGACAAGGGACACTGGATGCTCCTTGATATGTCTGTTAAGGGAGCATGGGGAAGCTGACATTTAAGGAGTCTTTAGTAATTTTTGCAAAGCTTTTATTGAAAAGCTTGTGACTCAATCCAGCCCTGCTATTCAGATATGCTCAGCCATTTGGGAAGCAGAGGGATCAAATTTCTGGAAACACATTTAACTTTTACCAAAATGTATTTTAATTCGTTTCTTACTATCTTGTTGCAGTGATATCAGGCCACTTAGTGGGGTTTTCTGCAAAACTTGCTTCATGTTTTAGCGTTGCAAACATAGCTCACTTCTTGATTGCTATCTGTTCTTTCCAGGTCATCCTGCCCCACTCCATAGCCAATAAAAAGGGAAGAATTCTCCCCACCTGCTATTCTTATAAAGAAACCAAGGACATAGAGAAAAATGCTTTTAACAAAAAGGCAAAATTCTTTCACATAAGCCCTTCAAGGAGTAGCTCTTGCAGCAGCAACATTAAATGGGACCAGAACACAAAAAGGCACAGGCTCATGTGGCCTTAGGAAATTTCTCCGGGAGGACCAAAAGTACTAGAGTTAGCCCGAATGTGGAAAATGGAATTAAGATATAGTAGGCTTTGTGGAATTACAGTTTATATATAATGGCAGAAATTAAGGGTGTTTTTGAGAGATGGAAATACCAAGAACACCCAAAACCCAATTGGAGATGGATTGATAGAAAGGTACAAATGAATTTAAAAGCAGCAAAAAGCAAACAACAAAACCCCATGACACATAGAATTGCGGCATGATTAATAAAACCGTGTTACGATTTAAATCTCCTTTGACATCCTTTCTTTCCTAAACCAAGTCACCTATGTTTCCTAACTCCATCTATCTCCAGCAGTGAAATAGTCAGACCAGTTTCACTTGCTATTTCTCTGTAAGTTTCTCTTCATTCTTCTGCCCACAAATGAGAGGAGCCTTTTGTGGGATCATTATTTATCCCAGAAATGCTTTAGTCTGATTTTGTTTTTCCCCCACCATCATTTAGCATTTAAAATCCTGGAGATCACAATAACTTTACTCCTTTTTAGTGGAGTGCTGAGTCTTTGTGTGTGCAGATTTGGGGGCATAGAACGTTTGGCTCCCTGCGGAAATATTATTTATGGGTTCACAGATGAGAAATCCAGAGATTATTATTGAATGCAATTCTCAGCCACACCTTCCGAAGCACAAACTGTGAACTCAGGTTGTGCAGGGGAAGATTGGTAAACCAACCGTCATTCCTCCTGGGCATGAGATGGGGAGAAAGATCCAAGGAGAAAGCAAGTTTGAACTTCAGCAAGGAATTAAGTGGTTAATAGGAACTCAGTTTTTTTTATTGGCTAATAAAACCTCTCAGGGTTTTTCATATTATATGGTCCCTTCAGGCTCCTAGCCCAATGGCTTAAAAAAAAAGGAAAAGACAAAAACAACAACAAAAAGCTGGAGCCTAAATACCAATGCAGTCCCAGTCTTGTTTACTTTTTCATTTCCGCAGTTGTAAAAAAAAAAAAATTCCTCTGGTAGTTCAACTTTATCATAGGAACTGCAGGAACGGACAGACCCGTGTTTGAACAACTCCAGTCATTCCTGCCTCCCAGTGAAAAGAAAAAATATGCTCTGTCTCTCTGTGCCTGTTTCAGAAAAAAGTAGACCACGCTGCAAATGATGGATGCA